GGCCTTATCAACAATCGAAACTCGTTCAACTTCAAATGATCTTATATTACGGAGTTTTCATAAGCATCAAGTATTTCAAATATGTGAGTATTTCTGTAATAATCATGTACTAAGTCAAATCATTATAACTTTTGCAGCTATCTTTCAACAGTATTCATGTGGAAATGTAATTATTTGACGTAGATTATGCCGTTGTAGGTATTTTTAATTAATGTGCGAAGATATCTCTAATTATCTAACAGGTCTATCTATTAAGTTCAGTCTATCTATTCAGTATTATCTATTAAGTTTGAAACATAACCAGATATTTATATTTCTTGCTCTCACTATTACACTGTAACGTTAGATAATTTTGGATTTTTATTTAGACAACTAATTAAAAATTAAAAATTAGAATAATAGATGCGCTGGTGTCAGTTTTATAATAAATTTGACATTTTCAGAATACAGCTTTCTTAACTACAAAACTCACTTCTGCGTTTGTCATTGATGTTCTGTCTTAAACATTTTTTTTTTCTATATATATGATGCATTACAATTTATTCTGTTTTAATAACCATTTTGTAAGTTAAATCAAATTAGTCATATATTTCACTTATAAGTCACTTAACCATATATTTTACATTACCGTCTTTATAATTAAGCTTACATTATATATATGTATATTAATGTTATATACATTTTTTTGTGTATAATATATCTTTTTTTATACCTTACAAAGAAAAGTGATATATAATATTGCTGATGCATTAGGTGAAACATATATTGGAGCAAATTCAGTATATTTATAATAAATTAAAGAATGAGAATGAAATCGCTATTATAGAAAATTACGGATATAAAGAAAAACGTAATACAATTCTGTTTATACGTAAGATATTTTTGGTGATTTTCATAGATTACAAAATAAACTAAAATGTCGTAATAAAAATTAAATGTTTAATTAGCTCACTTGTTTGCATATATATAATTTAATGCAAGATATTTATCAGAGTTGAATATAAACTATAATTTGATGATATACATATATATATATGCACATATGCGCGTGTACGTATATTTAAGCGAGGAAATTTACATTTATAAAGAAATTTGAATTTTTATTTTCTTTGCAAACAACTAACACATGGTGATAGTGATAGATCAGGTCGAATAAATGTACACGGAAAAAAAGATTTCGTTGAATTAATCAAATATCTGATCGAATATGAACGATTCAGAAATTCTGATTGAAATAGAGAAAAGTAACCAAAAGCGACATAGACCTCTTAAAGCGACATACCTCTATATCTCATATATTAAATGTTGTATTTTATTGAAACTAATATAAACATAATCCGTTTTATCAATTAAATCATAAAAAATTTATACTTGGTTATATTTCTTGTTCCTTTATATGTTAAATTAGCAAATATCGAGTTTTAGAAATTCGCAAATTTTACTTCTATGATTTTTATTGACAAATTACGTAGACTAAATAGCGATAATTATTATTTCGTTCAATATTAAGTTCTTCTACATTTGGTTTTTATAAAAATATTTTTTGAATATTTTTACCTTCATCATTTTTTTACTGTATAACTTGAAAAATTTTATGAGAATTTGTCTTAAAGTGACATACCTACAGTATGCGATAGGTGCGATACTCTGTGACTAACATAACTTGATTAATAACCTCCCATTGTGACGTGACATTTGTTTATTTTAAAGTTTAATTTTATTTAGTTTAAAAATATAACATATAAAATATGTGAGAAAATGAAAAAGATGAAAAAAGATATGTATTTATTTAATTATATTTCCTTTTGTAACATTATATTTTGAATAAATGAATATTATTCAACCATTAAACGTATTAATGAACTATTTATTATCAAATATTATCATATATATGACATGTTATATAAATTCCAATAGGTATATCGCTTTTGGCACCTATTTTCTTTGAACTCCATTTTCGTGCGTTTTACAAAAACATTTTTTGTTTTAAATCGAGAAACAATTTCAGTAAAAATGTGATATTACCTAATAGGAGGTATTTGCAACTACATATATATATTTACATTTATATTTTGAGTTTTATATTAAGACATAACGTCCAAAAACAAAGTGATATGTCGCTTTTGGTGCCTTTACTTTAACCCGAATTTTGTTTAAGATAACAAGATTTTTGGTTGACTTAAACAGAATTCGAGTTATTTCAACCGGAATTTCTGGATTGTTCATGTTTGACCAGATATTTGATTAATTCAACCAAACCTTTTTTTCCGTGTAAAATATTCAACATTTCAATGTACCAATTCGGGACAATTAAGAGTATCTGTTTGAATGAATAATCTTTTACTATTTATAATGTTTTGCATATGCTGCCTAGTTATTGTTATCGTTCAGCCATGGTATCTACAGATCCTCAATGTTTTTCTGCTCGTAAACGAATCTCGACCACATCACCTAATATACATTATAACAGAATACTTTGTTGATAAGGAGAAGTATTTTCATTTAATTTCGCTGCATATGAGTGCAGTTTTTGTTCTAGGAACAATTGTAATACTAGCGACTGGAACAATGCTCATAGCATGTGCTAAATGGATCTGTGGAATCTGTAGACTTGCCAGGTAAGAAAATGAAGAAAATAATATAATTAAATAAATTGTAAATACAACAACGTTTTTATCGTTTTTAATAAATTTGTATATATCTTATTAAACCACAAGAATTGATTACAGTTACCGCATCGAACATGCGATGCAGTTTAATGTTACATAAGCTATTGATTTAACGAAAAACATTTTGATCTATAATAAAATAATTCATGCTGTGGACATGCATTGCAAAGCAATTACGTTGATATTTATTTTATAATATGTGTTCAATGTAATAATGTTGCAAAGCAATTACATTGATATTTATTTTATAATGTTCAATGTAATAATGTTTCCTTGTGTTTAAAGGTTGATCAAATTTATGGTGACCAATTTCGAAATATCATTTTTTTCCTTAATAATGTGTGCTGTAATTTGCTTGAGTCTCAATTTTTTTAAGGTAAGTATTGTCCTTTTTATTTTATGTTATTTGGGTAATTCGTGGCCTTATTTAATAACAAAATTAAAAACGGGGAGAATATACATATATATAATTTGTGTAATACCACGCATATAAATCATAAATATTAGCGATTAATTTTCCAGAATTAACGCGTCTGAGTTAAGGATTAATGTGAGTTGGTAAAATTATTATTTTTTACAGTTATATGTCATGTTACATATATATATATAATAACCGTTTGGGCCACGTTAAATGATACTCCGTTCATATATTATAATTATGTATATGTATTCATTTGTTATAATTACGTATACAGTACATGTTAGTTATATATATATATATATATATATATATATATATATATATATATAACTGTAACATGTACTGTATACGTAATTATAACAAATGAATATATATACATAATTATAATATATGAACGGAGTATCATTTAACGTGGTCCAAGCGGTTATTGGAACCGATTCACGCATCAATTTCGAAATAAGTTATTCGACGTTATTCGATTATAAATTATGTAACGATTACTTGTATCGAGTTCAGAAATTGGGTTCAGAACCGAGTAACATTTCGTACAGCCTTAGTAGTTACAATGTTTTATTTGTTTTTATAATTTAATTTGTTTTTGTTTTGCGATTTCAACGCATTAAAAGGCAATTTGCTGTAATCGATAATACTTATTTAAACAAGTGTCCTTTATTATTAATATTTGCTATATACTGCTTAATTATTATTATAACAACGTTTTAGATCTTCCAGATTATGTTGTATGGAGGTAGTGTCGAGAGGTTGATGTTACATTTTGTACTTTGTAGCGCCATTGTTATGTATATATTTGTAGCCAACTATTTTGCGCAAGAAATATTAAATCACAACAATCACATATTCGTTACCGTGTAAGAAAATATTCATATTACAAGAATATAATCACATATTACAAGCCTACAATTACGTTTGTTTTATGAAACGTCTACATTAATTGCTACTTACTTGTGAATGTACCTATATGCGTGTACAACTATCATTGTCCATTTACCTTGTTTAGTTCTCATTTTCATTTGTAGATACGACACACGATGATATGACTCCTTTGCACATACAAAGAATGATATTGTTTCTGTTGCAAAATGGCACGAAAAACATTTCTCTGAGATTCGGTGGTTTATTTTCGGCATCTTTGAAAGGTAGCGCCACGATAAATAATGAATCACATATTAATCATCAGTTTTTATATAATATATTCGAACAAATAAAATAAATCTTTTTTACAGTTGTTAAGCACCTCCATATCTTATTTCACCGTTTTATATTCTACACGATATTGATGCAAAGATCTGTCACAGATTTTGTCACATAGGAAAATATTGTAATGAGATTGTGAGTGTAAACAGTGTAAATTTTTTCGTCTTTTTTGCTGACTGTCGAATAAAGTTATGAGGAATATAAAATTTCTGTCTACTCTTCTATATATATACATATATATATATATGTTACACATCTCTTCGACGAGAAAGCGATCAATAGCCGGTACAGCGTTATATAAGACTAACGTCTTCTATGGAAAGTCTAACATAACAATGCTCGCCTTACAATGGAGTGAACGAAGATGGGAAACTATAGAGTAAAGACTATAATCGCAAGAGAATCTTATGTGTATTTTTCATATGAGAAATATTCACATCTATTAAAGTTATTTGTTCGTCGAATCGGTTGCTTAATCGTCCGCTTCTACCACAGTAAACGCAGGTGTTCCGATCTCACGGTGACATTTTACAGTACTTTCCGCTCTATTTGAATTAAATTAGGTAATTTACGATAGAATTTATGTTGGAAAAAGGAATCTACATAAGATACTTCGTGTCTAAGATAGAAAGAGGGGATGGACGGAACCTCGCAGGCATACTCGCAGTCAAACGTATCTCGATGCTCAAAAAGAAATGATCTGCTTTGAAACCGAGTATATGAAGATAAATCGAACACTTTTGCTTATAATTGGAATGTGGCCTTATCAACAATCGAAACTCGCTCAACTTCAAATAATCTTGTGTAATGGTGCTTTGATAAGCATAATAATATTCCAGGTATGTTGATATTTTTAATAGCTATTATTATGTAATAGATTATTCCATTATCATTTTTGCAGCCATTGTTTACTTGTTACCCACGTAGGAGTATGATTATTAAACGTTTGTCATACGGTTGCGTGTATTTTTAATTAGCGTATTAGGACATCTTTTATTTATGCAGAATATGGTTAATTGGTTTGCGTAGTAAATTATAAATGTCTTGCGATACTATTATGCGTAGAAGTAACTGACAATTTTAGATTTGCATTTACTAACTGATTAAATATTACGTAGAATAATATAGATAGCCCGATGGATTAGTTTTACAATAAAATTATCGTTTTCAGTTTACAACTTTCTTGACTACAGAAAACACACTTGTATTTGTTATCGATGTTCTATCTGAAACATTATTTTTTCTCCTACATCTAATGTATTATAACATGTTCTATTTTAACAACCATGTTGTAAGTTAAATCAAATTGATCTTTTAATCATATACTTTATCTTACTGACTTTATAAACAAGCGTTAAATAAATTTGTACATATATATTAATTTTTATATTTTATAAAGAGAAATTATATTTGATATTTTGTTGCCGTATCACAGGTGAGACATACATTGGAGCAAATACAACATGTTTATAATGAATTAAAGAATGAGAATGAAATCGCTATTATAGAAAATTACGGATACGAAGGAAAACGTTATACGATTGTGCTTACATGTAAGATATTTATTATGATTTTCATAGGTTGCAGAATAAATTAAAATATATCGCAATGTAAATTAAATAGCCAATTGGCTCGTTCTCACACATATATAAATAACTTAATATAACATATTTACACCAGTAAATAAAGTATAATAAAATTTGTATGTACACATATTTGTATATACGCACGTATACTTGCAAACAAAAAAGTTTATATTTGTATCAAAATATGAATTTTTATTTGTTTTTGCAAACCGAGACAAGGTGATAATGACAACAGAGCAAATAAATATAAAATGTATAAAATTTTAATGTAACAATTCCACATCCTGGGTAATTGAAAGTATCTGTTTAACGATTGTCCTTTTATTATTTATAGTCATTGGCATATGCCCTATAGTTATTTTTCTTGTCCAGCCATGGTGCCCACAAATCTTCAATGTTTCTTTGCTCGTAAATATATCTCAACCACATCCTCCTGCATATATTACAACTGAATACTTTGTTGATGAAGAGAAGTATTTTTATTTAATTCTACTGCATGCAAACGTAGTTTTTATTCTGGGATTGATTATTGAAATAGCAATTGGAACAATGTTCATAGTATTTAATAAATGGATCTGCGGAATGTTTAGAATTGCCAGGTATGAGAATGAATGGGAAGAAAATAATATCGTTATATAATGAAAAATTGTTCATATATAATTATATAAAATTATGTAAAATTATATATAATTATATAAAATTATATAAAATTATATATAATTATATATAATTTTATATGATTGTATATAATTATACATAATTATATATGGACAAATTTTATACATAATTTTGCATGAAAAATTTTTCATCGGGTAAATTGTAAATACAATTCATTGTTTCGTCTTTGATGAATTTGTATAGACTGTTAAGTTACAAGAATTGATTACAGTTACCGTATCGAGAAGGCAATGGAAATTAATGTTGCACAAACTATTGATTTAAAGAATGATACTATGATTTATAATGAAATAATTCACGCTGTGAATATTCATCGCAAAGCAATTACGTTGGTATTTATTCCATAATACAAATATAATGTTCATGTAATAATGTTTTATTGGTTTTGAAGGATCATCAAATTTCTAATGTCCAATTTTGAAGGACCTCTTTTTTGCTTAATAATATGCATTGTGTGTTGCTTGAGTCTCAATCTTTATCGAGTAAGTACTGTTCCTTTCTCGAATATATTTTTGAATACTTTCTTTTGTGTCTTTATGTAATAATAATAATAATTAGAACTAAACAAATGAATAAGCAATCTATGGAAAACTACAAGTATTAATCATGCGAATATATCAGAATCAGGTTTCTACTGTTGGCCAGACTAGACTCAAAATTATTATAACAGTTAATAATTAGCATCCCCGTTCAAATTAAATAATGGTAAAGTAATTTTGTCGTTAACTACATATCTTATTAGTTATATGAATTTGATATATAGGCGTGTATTTTCTGTTTGTTTCTGTTTAATTATTCTGAGATTTCGACTTGACTGTATGAAATTACTGTGAGATATATATAATTGAATTCTAATGGTATATATAATGATTATCCAGACGGCACAAACCTCTAAAACATGTCTTATAAACGTCCGAAAGACATACTATTTTATTTTGAAGACGTCTTTTAGAAACTTGTGCTGTCTGAGTAGATATATATTGAATATATATAGAGTGTTAACAATTCGCTCCGGAGCTACGGTGTACAGTTAAAACGCATGAAAATAATAAGGAAAGTTATGTGTCATTTCGCAATTTTCGTAATGCTTATTCTGTAGTTAATTAAATCGTATGAGCTACAGCTGCTTGCTGTATTATTTTACCTATCGAAATCAGCTGTTGCCTACCGTTGTTAAGAAATTGTCAGAAGCAAACCATTTTTCTCTTACAGACTGGAAGTTATCTTTCATTAAACATATCTATAGAGTCTGTTCTACTATTCTCTAGGCGCTCATTAGACTTATATAATTTAATTCATTACAGAATAAATATTGCGGAAATAAAAAAATGAAGTTCATAAATGTCCTAATTATTTTAACCCGTTCTACCAGTACACCGCGGTTCCGTAGCGAATTATCGGATACCCTGTAATTGGGATAATGGAATCCTAATTATGATATCTTAGATTTTCCAGATTGTATCGTTTAGAAGAAGTACAGGCGAGTTGATAGTACATTGCTTATTTGCCAACTTTATGATTGCCATTATATTCATATCCAACTATGTCGCGCAAGAAATTTTAGATCACAATAATCACGTATTCGCTACCGTGTAAGAAAATAATCATATTAGAAGCTTAATCAAGGCCGCGAGCGTTAGTTTTTTTAAGCGTCTGCAGTTACTTGTTACTTACAAAATGCATGTATATGAGTTCAACATTCTTTCCATTCACTTAATTTTCGTCAAATTATCATCTTTTTTTGTAGATACAGCATGCGGTGGTATAAAACTCCTTTGTATATACAGAGAATGATACTTTTCCTGTTACAAAAGGGCACGAAAACCTTTTCTCTGAAAATCGGATTGTTCTCGGCATCCTTAGAAGGTACTGCTACGGTAAGTGATAAATCCCATATCAGAGTGTATCGTACTTTCTATGTCTTGCGTACTCGAACAAACAACATAAAAATGTTATCTTCTCTACAGTTGTTAAGTGCCTCTTTGTCTTACTTCACCGTCCTATGTTCTACATCGCAATGACATACAAGTCTATCATATCGCGGCATAAAGGAAGGTATGTCGAATTGGAATAAACGGTGTCGAATTTTTCGCCTTCCTCTTTAAATATTAAATAAAGATTCGACAAATATAAGATTTTCGTGTATTTTTCATGAATAGTATACACACACATATACACATATCACCAACGATTAATTCAGAGTCGGTACAACTTTACGTGAAACTAATGCCAAATATTTGTTTGAAAAATCTAGTGTAACAAACGAGTGCTCGCATTTACTACATTATGATTATAAATACGTCCAAACACACAATAGTATTAAGTATATTTTCATGTACCATAAATTTCTTTCTGAATTTTACAAAAGGACCGATATAAAATATTGTTAATGTGACAGGTAAGATATCTATTGGAGAAATTGCAGTTTATAATGAGTTAAAAAATGAAAATGAAATCGCTATTATAGATAGTTACGGATTCGAAGCTAAACGTTGTACGGCTATATTTATATGTAAGATACTCACTACATTTTCTACAGGTTGCGATAAACAAGTAATGAACAATTAACGCTCTTTCTCTCTCTCCTTTTCTTTCTCTCTCTCTGCTTTACACATATATAACTTGCTCTTATTTTTACCAGAACATAAAAATATATAATAAAGTACGTAAAATAGGTAAGAGCATATATAATTTTTGCTTGATGGTGATAATTTTGATTATTGTTACATGCAAATGAATTTAAATTTGTAACAAAAGTCAAAGTTCTATAATTTCTTTTCTGTAAAAGTCAAAGTTTTACAATTTCTTTTCTTGCGTTGATATTTTTACTTTATTTTCCGCAAAGCCTCAGTATGATTCACACTCCGCGGACAATCAACTCACAGTCAGTACGGTGTTACACACTAACAACTGACGCTTCTATAAAAAGTCTGTCGTAAATAACGAGTGCTCGTGCCGCAATAAAGTGTACAAAAATGCAAGGCTATAGAGTAACAATTTCATGGTCTGCAGTCAGAGGGTCCTAAGCAATATTTTTTCATAAGAAATAAGTACAGAGCCATTAAAGTTCCCTCTTTGTCGCATCGATCGCTTAATCGTCTGTTTCTACTACAGCAAACGCGTAAAAATGCAGGTGTTCCGGTCTTACAGTGACATTTTACGGTTGCCTTTCATTTGAGTTAATTTAGGTAATTCTCAATAGAATTTCTGTTGGAAAGAGGAAACCACACATAAAATACTTAATAGTTTTGACAGAAAGAGGGGATGAGTGTACCTTCGCCGGTTCCCTCGCGCTTAGACGTGTCTCGATGCTCAAACAGAGATGATCAGCCTTCAGACTAAGTTTTGGAATATTAATCGAATACTTTTGCTCGCGATTGGATTATGGCCTTATCAGCAATCAAAACTCGTTAATATTCAGATAATGTTGTATTATAGTCTTTTAATAAGTGCAATAATATTTCAGGTATGTCGGCATTTCTTTAATCATGTCTAAAAATGTAGTTAACATCCATTGTATAGTCATGGATATTTTTAAGTAGTTGTGATATATAGAAACATAATTAGAAATATACATTTCTTGTTACATTATTATGCATGGAAAAATATAGAATACTTCTATATTTGTGACTTGCTAATTATCCACCCCAACGTCAATGAAAAATTACATTTAATTGAAAAATTACATTTAATTAAAAAAATACATTAGATTGATATAGACCCTTCAGTGTCACTTATTTCCATAAATATATTGTTTTTAGTTTACATCATTCTTGACTACAGAATGCACTTTTGATCTAGTCGTCAAAATTCTATCACTGACATTATTTTGCTCTGTATATTTGATTGTTTACAACATGTTTTGTATTAACAACCAAAATGTAAGTTTAATGAAATTAATCGCTTAATTTTATCTGTAAATTAATGTATCGTATTAATATAAACAAACATTAACACATATTTTCATTGAATTATTATATATATGAAGTGAATTCTATTTTAAATTAAACAAAAATTATCTAAAATAATATTGAGCTAACAGATACGCTATATATTGGACGAATTTCAATTTATTTATAATACGATGAAGGATGAGAATGAAATCGTTATTATAGAAAAATATGGATACTACGCAAAACGTTTTACGATTTGCTTTATAGGTAAGACTGTTAAATATTTCGCAAATTGTAAAATGTATTATTGATAAATTAGGTCTATGCTTTATACGTGTATTTTTACTACATTTTTATCGGAATAAAATAAAAGTATAGTAAAAAGTATATATTATAAAGTAAATATAAAAAGAAGAATGTTCTTACTTAATGCTGATTATTTTGATTATTGTTACAAGTGAAAAAAATTAAAAGTAATAAACTGAAATGTTACAATTGTTTTCTGTAAAAAAATAGTGGCGGTGATTAAAAGACGAGTAAATATAAAATGTTTAACCAGATTTTCTGCTTCGCGAAATTCAAAGTAATTGTTTACTTAAGTGTTTTTTTATATTATTATTTATAGTGATTGCTATATGCTGCGCATTTATGAGTCTTACGCAGTCATGGTTGCCAGATATTCTCAACGTTTTTTTTCTCATAAATATTTCTCGATCAAATCCCTTAATGTACACTAAAACTGAATACTTTGTTGATCAAGAAAAATATTCTCATTTAATTACGCTGCACATATACGTATTTATTTGTGTAGCATCGCTCGTCGTGTTAGCGATTGGAACTTTAATCGTAGTATGTATTAAATATATCTGCGGAATGTTTACAATCGCCAGGTGAGAAAAAATGAAGCAAATAATATTTTATTATCCAAATTTTAAGAAAAATATCGTTTTACTCGTCTTGGATTAATCTGTGCAGAATATTGTACAAGACTTATTTACAGTTATCGTATCGAGCGGGCAATAGAAATTTATACTCCACAAAGTATTGATGTGAAGAACGAAATTATAGTCTATAATAAAATAATTTACGCTGTGGACATTCATCGCAAAGCTTTGACGTTGGTATTTACTCGCGATATTTACTAAGCAATATATGCATAATGTATATGTAGTGCTGTTTTTTTCTTTTTTAAGGATCACCAAATATATTTGTTTTAAGTTGGAAGATTCGATTTTGTGTATAATAATTATCAGTGTGATTTCCTTAAGTCTCAATCTTTTTCGGGTAAGTTTTTTCCTGTCTTTAAGGATATACTTTACTTTGAACATGTTACACGTCATAATCTCTTATAAAATACTCAAATCCAAAAAATCTGTAAATAAAAAGAAATTCCCAATTAATGGAATCAATTTAAAACTAATGTATTCAAAATCAATAAGGTAATTTCGCATTAATTCGTATTGTCTAATTTTCATATAAAAAAATAGATTTGACATCATTTGTGTATCTTTTCATTTATTTTTCTTTCTTTTCACAATATAACTCTATGATATAAAGTAAATGTACAAAATATATACAGATGAATGTATTGAAATTATGGTGTCTTAGATTTTTCAGATTATATCGTTTGATGCCAATATCGAGGAGCTGATGATACACTCCGTAATTGTATGCGTCATTTTCATATACATATTCGTAATCAGTTATTTTATGCAGGAAATTTTAGATCACAATAATGAAATGTTCGTAAACGTGTAAGGAAATAATCATATTATAGTTCTACAATCACATATGTGCGGTTCGATCGACGAAGCGTCTGCAATTAATTATAACTTAAAAAACGAATATACTTATGTCGAACGATTATTTGTCCATCCATTTAATTTCTGTCCAATTACATCTCTTTTCGTAGATACAACACCCGGTGGTATAGAACTCCTTTATATATACAGAAAATGATATTGTTTCTGTTGCAAAAAGGCACAACAGCTTTAAATATCAAGTTTGGTGGATTTTTCGTGGCATGTTTAGGAAGTTCCTCCACGGTAAGTAATCTATCAATTTCAGTATATACAAAATGAAGTATTACTTAAAATTCTACAGATATTTAATCAATGATAAATTTCTCAAGGTAATAAGAGTCACGCAGAATGATGGTTGCAAATTTTGCTGAAAGATAATAATGTTCATCAGAAGTATTGCAAGTGTCGAGGAATTTTTAGTCTTTAATATACAAGATATACATTAGTCCTCTTCTATTATCGTACTGATATTCTGTCTTCCAATTATATTTTTTATTGATATTTTAAATCCGATATTTTTATTTATTATATTGATATTTTTATTTCGTATATTATTATACGACATTTTATTATATTGACATTTTTTAGGACATTATTTTATAATATTCTTTTATTACATATATATAATGTTATATTACATTTTATTATGTTAATATTTCTATTTTGTATGCCCAGCATACTTTAAAAATAGAAAATTTCTCGGCACGTGTAATGCTTTATCAACATTATTACCTTTCTGCTGAAACAATTATTTGTAAACATTATTCTGTAACATTAGTCTGATTGGCTTGAAAGATCTAGTACAAAAGGTGAAATCTTTTTTATGCAGTTGATAAGCACCTCCCTGTCTTATTTCACCGTGCTTTATTCTATACAACACTGATGCAAAGATCTGTCGTTTCGCGGCATATTGGAACATACATGGTAAGTGTAAATAGCGTTGAATTTCACTTTCGTTGTCTAGCGTTATCAGAGGCATAATATTTTCCTTTATTCTCCTCTAATTTCTGTAACGTTGTCTACAATAAGCGAATACTAAAAAATATATTTCATATGTTTTAAATGTGATTTGAGTGTGTCAAACTCACGAGCGTGTAACAGGTGTCACTGAATGCTCTAACTTACAACCTGCAATGCTTTGTACTTTGCTAGGGATAACTTTGTGATTGACGTATAGATATGTATTAATCGATCGACTGATATTTCTCTGAACAACCAAACGTGTCGTACGGATGCGCAAACTCGAATAAAATGCGAGAAAGTGCGGTGTCAAGAAACAACGACTACGCTTGCGTGTACTTCTACTGACAATGTATCATATAACTATTATTCCACGGGAAATAAACATTCGTCAAATTTCCGTAGGGTGCCAAATTGATCGTCTATTTGCCTCCCAATTTCAGCATGAAATGGTGAACAGCGAGTGCTCCGATCTCACGATAAAATTTCGCGCCGCTTTTATTTAAGCTAAATTGAGCAATTTTAGTTAGAGTCAAGGTAGAAGAGAAAAATAAATTATTGACTGGTCGCACACAAAGAGGGGATGGGCTATACCTCAAGCACATTTTCGCCGTCATACGCATTTCAATGTTCGCTGAGACATGATCTGCATCGTAACTCAGCATTTCGGGCTCAACCGGATCTTACTACTCGTTATAGGTTTATGGCCCTATCAACGATTGAAACGCGCTCAACCTCAAATAATCCTGATTCCTGGCATATTTATAAGTTATATTATAGTTCAGGTATGTGAATGATTGCTTTAAGATATTCAATAAATTAACAGTAACATTACATGAATATTATAATTTCTCAGTTAACAATATGTAATTGTTATGTGCACACAACATGTTTTATATTACATTTACATTGCTAAATGACAAATTATAATATTGACATAATATTACTCTGTTTACTGGGTGTTTACTGGATATTGATAAAATTTGCGATAAACATCTTTACAAAAAAAACTCGTGTTGACTAAAAAAGTGCATGCCACTTTTTATTGCAGTTATAAACCTATTGTAAAACTGTATTATGCGTTTAAAGGTGAATTTCGCTTAATCTTACAACTTGCTTGATTAAATAAGAAAATGTTTGTTGATCGTTTTTAATAAACTTATTGCTTGTAGCTTACAACGTTTGCGACTTCAGAGTGCACTTTTAACATACTCGTTAAAATTCTTTCCCCCATATTATGCATTACTTCAACTGTGGTTATATACGTTTCATTTTGGATCAGAATGAGTACTGTAAGCTATACTTTTGTATTATATTTGTCGTAACAACAAACTGACAATTCTAAGTTAGATGTAATATATGCTGAGATGTAATAAACACATCTTCGCGTAAAACTTGTCCCACTATTGTTTCGATTCTTATTCTCCAAATAAATGTAATGAGAATAAGGTTCCTTTTTATTTTTAATAGTAAAAGAATTCTTCTTTTATTATTAAAAGACGTATAAATATATCTTATCATCTTTCTAAGTAAACTTCTACACAACAATCAATACAGAAGGAGATATATTTTAAAGTGAAAGTTAACATGACAGGTAAGACGTGCGTTGGATTATCTGCAGCATATATGTAACAATCTAAAAGATGAGAATGAGATTGCTATTATGCAAAGTTACGGATACAATGCAAAACGTTTCACGACCATAGTCACATGTAAGTTGATATTTGTTGATTTTTATTAAATGCAAAGTAAAGCAAATTAGAGTAGTGAAAAAAATTTTAATCCCAATTTTGAGTAAAGATTTTGTTATTTCGCGCAGATTTTATTATTTTGTCACGTTTCTGTAAATTTACAGAAATATAACAAACAGAAAAATTGAATTTTATAACGTTGTATGTAAATAATCGACTGCCTTTACTCTTCTTAAGAACAATCCAAAGGGAAATTGAGTGTTTTAGCGTTTAGAAGTCTGAATTATTTAATATGTCGATAGGAAAAGTCGAGCAAAGCTGTTTATGTTACTGTTTTTAAATGTCCTTAGTGACTTATTTAAGTTACGGACTTATGTTTCTTATCCAGTCAATATGGCAGAACAATCGTGACACTTCTCTGCTCATTAATGAATATCGACCATACTGTACGATACAGATTCTAACTGAATTTTTTACCAAGAGTAAAAAGTATATTTGTTCAATATTACTGCATGCAAATGTAGTCTTCTTCATATTTGCAATCGTGATACTAGGAACTGGCGCGACATTTATCGGGTGCTTCCAATACGTTTGCGGAATGTTTACCGTCGCCAGGTAATAAAATAATTTAAAAATTATACATATGATATATGTTGATTATAAACGCATGGAACTGTAATTAAGAAGATAACCATACTCTCTTTTGTCATGTTTATAGTATATTTGTATAAATAAATGTACATATAATTACATATATGATTCAGCATAATAATTATTTGTAGTTATCGTATCGAGCAAGCGATAAAACCCATGGACGTAATTAATCTTAGCTCAAGAAACGTAGTTTTAATTTACAAGGCGATAATTTATGCTGTGGATATTCATCGTAAAGCTATCGAGTTGGTACATATTCGAACATAAGTGTACGATACATACTGTAATAACAACTTTTATTACTTTAGATATTCCACATTTCTAATAACTGCATTTGAGGGGATGTTCTTTCTTTTGATAATATTTGGAGTGACTTCCTTAAGTTTCAATCTTTATCGTGTGAGTTTTCTCATTCTTTTAAATATAGTTTTGTATAATTCAAATAATATTTTACTATTTCAAAAGAATTTGTAACTATTTCAAAAGAATTTGTAAAATAAGTTAAAGCATTGTATTGCACTGCATTTAACGAAATACTTGATTTAAATTTTAAAAAGTTATATATATATATATAAAGATACTTATGAGATATATCTCTCTCACTCTCTCACTCACTCACTCACTCTCTCTCTCTCTTTCTCTTTCTTTCTCTCTCTCTCTCTACACATACGCGCGCGCACACACATACAGAGAGAGAGAGAGAGAGATCATAAGTTCCAAAATAATTTTCAAAACAAGATTTTGTGTGTGTGTGTGTGTACGACAATAATAATTTTTTTTTTATTTTCTTTTACTCTGCTGTTAATTTGTAGCAATATAACTCCTTTCTACGTAAAATAAGGGTTGATTCTGAGATATGTGTATTAAATTTATATTAATTATATTCTTCTAGATTTTTCAGATTGTATCGCTTGGAAACAATGATAACGACACATTATTGCAAATAATGTATCTAAATATCATTATTATATACATGTTCGTCTCAAACTACGTTGGACAAATAGTTACAGATCACTATAACAGTATATTTTTCACCGCGTAAGACGCTTTCCAATATAACACAATTAATTATTTTGAATACAAACGCACAAACTCAATAATAACTTATTTTTCAAAAATGACTATTTTTACTTGCAGATATAACGTTCCATGGTATGAGACACCCCTATCTATACAGAAATTAATAATACTATTGCTACAGAGGGGTAACAAAAATTTCCATTTATATATTGGTAAATTGTTTGCATCATCCTTAAACTCTTTTGCTACGGTACAAGAATATCAAGTTACCAATAAGTTAAATCATAATATACTCAAGACGACATACATTAAACAGAAAACATGTGAAAAAGATCGTTTTTTATTCTAGTTGACAAGTGCATCGATGTCTTACTTTACCTTAATATATTCTGTGCAAGACCATAATTAAGATTTACGTGATTATATCAAGATCTTATCATGTAATTAAGATTTAAGTGATAAGATTTATAATTGAAGAGTATATAAACGGTAGAAAGAAACAGCAAATATGTTCAATTTTTTTGCAATTAATTATTATATAAGGTAAGTAATTCGTAGGTGATTGAGTAATTAGAATATTAAAATGAAGCTTTAAATTATTTAACTGTCGCAAACCTCAACATCTAAGTTTATTAACTTTATTAACGTATTTGTTATTGTTGTTGTATCATGCGTTTTTGAATAACCTTAAAAAAGCTTTGCAATATTTAACATTTATATATTTCAGGTTATACCGGCAATAACCCTTATAGAAATATCATACTAAGGGTCGGTTTATCCAACTTCTTGCTAAGCTAACTAACAGTTAAATCTTATGTCTGTTTCTACCTAATTTAAAGGAGAAACAAAGACAGACGTATGAGTTAACTGTTAGTTAGCTTAGCAAGAGATTGGAAAAACCGGCCCTAAGAATCATTGATAATTACTTATTATCCAGTATTTTTAATACTGAAAATAAATAATTATCAATGATTCTTAGTATGATATTTCTATAAGGGAACTACATAGGGTTAACCATTATCTTATTTAAAGATAAAATACAAAAGAAATAACATTTATCATATTTAGTTTACTTAGAAATAAGGTTGAAAGGGACGATATTAAAATGTTTGATTGTATATTTGACTATAAATAATAAATGCTTTTTCACTTCTTGCTTTGCATGTTATATTCTACAATGAATTAAAGGAATACGAATAGCAGAATTTCTAATGATGTCAATAACAATAATTACAGACGGACGGAAATTAAACAATAGATTATACTTGATATCGTTGAATCTAATACGTTTATTACAAAACTACTTTTACTTTCAGAGATCAGTGACATTCCTTATGATATATCACTATAAAATTGATAATTTTGTTTACAGATATTTGTGCTTTTGTTGTGATGCACGAACGCGAAATTTGTGAGTATCCTTCGATGCTACCGGATAATTTATTCACATGCTCATACAAGCTGCAGCAGTCGTAGAAATAATTTTCTAATTAGCATGTTGACATATGTGAGAGAGAGTATACAATTCAATTCGTTTTTAATATACAAACACATCATACGGATGCACAAACTAGAATGAGAAGAGCAAAGTACTACGAAGTGAAAAACAACGACTACACTTGCGCGTGTTTCGATCGACGCGTTATAACAAACGTGTTATTTTATGGGAAATAAATGTCCATTGAGGGAGAATTTCGTAGCGTGTTATATTGATCGCCTATTTGCCTACCTGTTTCAGCACGTGGTTACGTTCCAAACTGACTCAAACATAATAGTCTGTATGGTTGTACCGGAAACGTTAGTTTTGCGAAGGTTAAACTGAACATTATAATAAATATGATGAGCTACTTACTATATTATTTTTAGCTTTGTATTTATTCTTTTTGACAAATTGAAAATACTAATTTGATTATGTTTTATCTAATACCACCAGTCACCGAACGAATCGTTTGATAAAATTCTAGATTCTAAACATACTGAGTGTTTTTTAGTTGTGCTATCTCGCACTCCAAGAGTTTATTTGGTTTTCAAAGCCAGACATCATTTCTTTATAGGTGTAACATTCGACGATATGTGACACCGCTACACATACAAAAAGTAATAATACTGCTACTGCAAAGCGGTAACAAATCTTTTATTTTAAATACCGCACAGAAAAAAAAGATTTGGTTGAATTAACCAAATATCTGGTCGAATATGAACGATCCAGAAATTCCGATTGAAGTAACCCGAATTCTGTTTAAGTTAACAAGATTTTTGGTAGCCTAACCAAACATGTCTGGTTATTTAACCAGACATGTCTTTTATTCTCTGGTTAAATAATTATAATGTTCGATGGTACGTGACACCGCTACATATACAGAAATTAATAATACTGCTACTGCAAAGGAGTAACGAAACTTTTATTTTGAATACCGATGGATTATTCGCAACATCCTTAGAATGTTTTACTATAGTAAAAAAGTTTGATTAAATATTCAAAATAATATATTTTAAATAAAAATATATAAACAAAGATGTTTCTTATTGTAGTTAATAAGTACGTCGATGTCTTACTTTACTATTGTGTATTCAATACACTCAGGAGGTTAAGATTTATTGTCAAATGGTACAAAAATAAAAAAAGAAAGTAAAATATTCTTGCTCACCAGTAGTTAATTATTGTATTAAATCGAACACATACCAACAACTGCCGTTTGATAATGTCAACAGCAATAGACGGTTTACCGTAGCTGTAAGCATTAATCCGTAGAATGCATCTGATCAACTTGTAGAATATTTTCATCTGTAGCGAATTGGCACATCACAGCACATACGATAGACGATTACTATGTAATATGTTTATAAATACTTACTTTGCACGAACGCAAAGTCTACAAGCACACTTCGATACTCTACGGGAAGCTCAATATCACAAGAGAGTTACAGTACTTTATACTTCACAGATACTAATGTTATAACTAACACTTCGACTCACATGTAACGGGACAACTTATATAGTTATCAAAGTTCAAAGTCATCGTACGGTTGCATAAGCTCGAATGAAGAATGGGAAACTACGGTGTCAAGAAAGAACGACTACGCTTGCGCGTACTTCGATCGACGAGTTATTACACATGTGTTAGTCTGTGGGAAATAAACATCCGTTGAATTTCGTACGGTCTCAAATCGATCGTCCGTTTACCTACCCATTTCCGTACGAGGTGGTAAGAATCGCGAGTGTTCTGAACTCACGACAATTTCGCACCACCTTACTTTCCATTTAAGTAAAATTAGGCAATTTGTAGTAGAGTTTAGGATAGAGTAGAGATAGATTAAGGTAGAGAAAAGCAAATTAGTGATGACTGATTACAAGGAGGGAATGTGTTTCGATGGCGTTTTTGCAATCAGATGCATTTCGTTCTCCGCGGAAACATGATCTCTTATGAGGCGCGATATTTCAAACTGAATCGAATCTTACTGCTCTCAATTGGCTTGTGGCCGTACCAGCAACCGAAAAATGCTCGATTTCAAGTTTTTATACTATTTGGTATCTTTATGTATAGCACTCAATATCAAGTGAGTCCATCTTTTTATTTGTATTAATATATTGATTATGTTTTATATGTTAACGCGCAATTATTTTACTACAGCAACAGAAATGAAAGTACATGCAATATGTTAATCCAATGCTTATTTAATTGCAAATGTTTGAATATCAAAACATGAAATTAAATTTTGACGCACGGAGAAAACTGCTATGATTGTTACACACACATTCTATAATTAGGGAGAAAATTTATGTACTTTCAAATTAAATAGATATTGCAACAAAAGTTGCTGTTGTTATATGCCCATCTATATAGTTCTCGCAACCATAGTTCTTGTGATACGTAATGCTCAGTTAGTATATTCTCATGTATAACTGTTTCGAACCGGAAGAATATTGCTATCTCTTTGTTGTGGTTTGCAGAACGAATACTATGGTTGAAATATCTGTAGAATTTGGTTATGTTAAACAGCAATGAGAGTACTGCTCAAACAGACAGCAAAGAAAACTAACGTATCACTTACAAAGTACTATATTTGCTACAACCATCTTGTATGTATGTGCAAACAATAACATTAATATTTTGTTACGGCCATCTTTAGTGTTTTCTTCGTGCGAAATTATTTTTCTTCAATCAAATTTCGTAATCTATGCATATTTTTAGCATAGCTTTAAGTGTAACCGTCTGATACTTCTGTTAATATAACATTGTAATTGGTGAAATATTTGTTACTTATCAACTTTTAATAAATTTATTATTTGCAGCTTCGAATTCTTGTGTCTGAAAAGTTGACATTTAATTTTATGGTTAACATTTTCTCTCTTGCACTGTGCCATATTATCGGCGGAATTCAATATATTTCGTTTTGGATCAACATGAAAACTGTAAGTTGCGCTTTCATGTGTTTTAATATATAACGAAGTCGCCAAGCTATATTGCATAGTAAAGTGCATATTTGTTTTCTCGTATCCAAATTCTTCAAGTATTATTCTAATTGCTATTTCCTAATTTTCCGTATAACTTCATTTCTTGCAATATTCTACGTGTAAATCTCTATTTATAATCTATTTATAATCTTATCTATCTCTATTTACCTATATGTAAATCATGTTATATATAAATATCTATGTATACATATCATTATTATAAGCGTACGAAAACATTATGAATTACCACACACCACGCATGTCTCGAAGACGTCTTAAGTCTTAAGAGTGTTGTATAAGAATTTATGACATGGCAGGTGAGATGGTTATTGGACTATCTGAAGTATATATGTAACGAACTAAAAGATGACAATGAAATCGCTATTATAGAAAGTTACGGGCGCATTATGCAACGTTATACAATTGTCCTTACATGTAAGATATCATTTGTTGACTTTTATCACAGGCTACAAAATGAAATACACTGAGAAAAAATTATATTAAAATCAACAAATATCTTCTTGACAGGTGCCATTAATATATTTACTTAAATCTACATTCTCTTTATTTAAACCTAAATATTGTTTATTTAAATTAGCTTATTAATTGTTAAGTATTGTTTATTTATTTAAACAATATTTGATTTAAATAAAGAGAATGTAGATTTAAGTAAAAATGTTAATAACACCTATCAAGGAAATATTTGACGATTTTAATATAATTTTTCTCTCAACGTAAGCTACAGTCGTGAGCAAAACCGAATGACTAATATGTTTATAATAGTATGTCATGTTTCTACGTAAATAGTAGCAAAATATATAATCATAAGAATTAACAAATAAAATTAATGGCCTATAAGAGCCATCGCTCTCATTCGAACGCGCACGCGCGTTACAAAAAATTTATTATAAAGTTTATACAATAAAATTAATATTACATGTTCATACGTTCATTACATGTCTCTTTAAATGCTTAGCGTTTGCGATGATCTGGATATTTATTATTACCGCCGAGTCGATTTTGGGACAGAATGTTGATGTTTCTTTGCTTGTGAACGAGTCTCAATCACATCGTGCATCGATGTTAATAACTGATTTTGCCAATCGAAAAAAAGATATATGTTTAATTTTGCACACGAATATACTCATTTATATAGAGCTGATCGTAACGGTAGCAACCGGTAGTATGCTCATAGGATATCTCCAATATAGCTGCGGAATGTTTAGTATCGCTTGGTAAGACAATAAACGTAGCAATGCAAGGTAAAAGTACTATAATATTTGGACACTAATGACATTGATACTAACTATGAGTATTTTTATTGTTTTCGATTTTCAATACGAATATTTAAACATTCGAGTATTAAATACAACGAATATTTAATTTTTTAATATTTATATTATATTCAACGTAGAATATAATATATATTTTCTTCCTCTCCTTTCTATTTCTATATTAAGAATTTAAATTTTTGTATTTTAAGACAATAACAAAACATTAAAATGTCCAAAGTTGAGTACTAGGATTATTAGTGCCCAGACATTGGTATTTTTACCTTATATAAACTTAATTTGGAAGTAAAATTGCCGTTAGTCATCTTTAGTGATGTTGGATAAGGTAAAAGTGTCTATATATAATGTTTATAGCACAAAAATTATTTATAGTTATCGTATCCAGCAAGCGATAAGTATTGATCAGGAAAATCAAACAAATATCAATCCGAAAAGAGAAATTATCATTTCTAAAGGGATTATTTATGCCGTGGACATTCATCGCAAAGCTATAGAGTTGGTATACATTCAAACATACGTGTACAATGTATAACATAATGACTTTCATTGCTTTAGGTACTGCAAGTTTCTAATAACCAAATTTGAGGGAACGTTCTTCCTCATGATAGTATTTGGCGTAACTTCGTTGAGCCTCAATATTTATCGCGTGAGTTTTCTTACCCTTCTAAATATAGTTTTGTGTAATAAAATTTCAATATTTTAGAACAATTTGTAATAACATAATCAAAATAGAAAATTACGATGACATCAAAGTAACATCAAAATCAGAAAATAATCGAATCATCATTGGAAAGTGAATTCTTTACTCATGTTATTGATTTTTTGTTCTATCTAGGAAGGCAAGTTACTGTATCTGTCGAAAATACTTAACGAATCAAATTTTAGAAATCACGTAAATTTCAAGAAAATTATTAATATCAAAGCATATAATATATATATGTGCATAGTATAATTTTTGCCCTTCTATTCTACTTTGTTGTATATAACTCCTTTTTACAAAATAACATAATATATAAAATTATTAATAGGTGGTTGATTTTGAAATAGAGGTATGTGAGACTTATTTCAATCATGTTATGATTCTAGTTTTCTTCTAGCTTTTGCAGGTTATATCGTTTGGAGAAAATATTAGGGAATTGTTAATACATATAACATGTATGGAAACCATTATTTTGTATATGTTTTTATCAAATTATATCGGACAACAAGTCACGGATCACTACAACAATATATTTTTCAACGCGTAAGACACTTTTTGACACGATGCTTACAATGAATTGTTTTGAAGTAAAACGAACACACGCAAAAATAATTTAATTTTTCAAAGACAAATATACTTCTCTTTAGATACAATGTTCAATGGTATATGACGCCCTTATCTATACAGAGACTGATAGTGCTGCTACTACAAAGGAGTAACAAAAATTTCACCTTGAATATTGGTAGATTGTTTTCAGCATCTTTAGAATGTTTTGCTACGGTAACAAAAATCAGGCATCTTATTATATTTATAAGATGGCATATTTTAAGTAAATATACATAAACGAAGTTGACTTATTTCAGTTGTCGAGTGCGTCGATGTCTTACTTTACTGTTATGTATTCTATGCAGCAACGGGATTAAGATTTAAATAATAGCAGAAAATAGAAAAGAGAAGTAAGATCAAAGTAAAAGATTAAAGTTTAAAAAGTAAAGACTAAAGTAGTTACTGGCGTAAGTAGTTGTAAGTAAAAGCTTAAATAATTATTTATTATCATGGTTTATCTTATTCTTCAGTCAATTCATCATTTACAAGGTGTCAGCCGGAAATTCACGATTATTTAATTCTTTGTATAGAGTATCACTGACCTTTGACATAATTGGTCCTTAACATCGTAGAAGCAAGGAGACTCGTTAGATTAGATTCGTTAGAAAGCTTTTTATTACAAATAACACAGCTTACGGCATACGATATAATAATATATATAGGTAACTGTATAAAATATTTCAAGTATATAAAATTGTTGACATTTATGTCTTCAATATGATGCTACAACAAAAAGCTTGTGAATACATATTAGACACCGTCGCAAACACCATGCAAAAGTTTACTGTACTTCATACTCTACCAATTATTATTTTGCAGCTGACACGTCGGCATGTGTGGTTGTCGCTTTCAGAGACCAAACATACCGTACGAGTGCGCGAACCAAAATGAAACGGAGGTACCGAGTGCTGAGAGTGGGGGAGAGCAACTAAACTTGCGCGTATCTCGACCAACAAGTTATCATACATGTGTCACTCTATAGGAAATAAATCTTGAAACGGTGAATTTTTATGGCGTTAAATCCATTGTCTATTTGTAATCCTATTTTCCTCTATAAATTTTATTAAATACTACAATATATAACCGCAAGTATTTCGTTCTCACGTTTACATTTTGAGTTAATCTATACTACGTTTATGGTAAATTCCACAATTTACGATCGATTTTAAGTTAGAAAAGAATAATTTTCAATGGTATAATTTTTGGATGTAGGGAGAATTAGAAAGAAGGATGAGTAGAACTTTGCTTACACTTCCGGAATCAAACGCGTCTCTGTATTCCCGGAGACATGACCTGCAACGAGACTCGATATTTCAGATATAATCGGGATTTCTTACTTGCAATCGGTTTATGATTTTACCGACAATCGAAATTCGTTCGACTTCAGATAATTTTGGTCTCTGGAATTTTCATGAGCTGCAGTGTATTTCAGATATATTAATCTTTTCAATCATATTAATGTACGAGGTATTAAATATAGTAACAAAAAAAAAATAAAATAAAATAAACGAATGATGTTTTTGATATATAAATTTTTCAATTAATTTACTGCTTGCAGTTTACGGCATTTCTGACTACGAAGTGTACTCACGATTTTGTCATTAAAGTTCTAAAATAATTTTCAAAACGAGATTTTGTATGTGTGTGTGTGTGTGTGTGCCTATATTGTGTGCGTGTGTGTACGAGAATAATAATTATTTTTTTTTATTTTCTTTTTATGTGTTGTTAATTTGTAACAATATAGCTTCTTTCTACGTAAAATTAGGGTTAATTCTGAAATGTGTGTTAAATTTATATTAATTATATTCTCTTAGTGTTTCAGATTATGTCATTTGGAAACAATGATAACGACACATTGCAAATAATATATCTAAACGTAATTATTATATACACGTTCTTGTCAAACTACGTCAGACAAATAGTTACAGATCACTATAACAGTATATTTTTCACCGCGTAAGACGCTTTCCAATATAACACAATTAATTATTTTGAATACAAACGCACAAACTCAATAATTTATTTTTCAACAGTGATTATTTTTACTTGCAGATATAATGTTCCATGGTATGAGACACGTCTATCTATACAGAAATTAATAATACTGCTGCTACAGAGGGGTAACAAAAATTTCCATTTATATATTGATAAATTGTTTTCAGCATCTTTAAAAAGTTTTGCCACGATAAAAAATATCAAGTTAAATCATAATATACTCAAGATGACATACTTTAGAAAATATGCAAAAAATATGCATTTACTATGAGTTATTTACTATATTATTTTTAGCTTTGTATTTATCCTTTTGGCAAATTAAAAATACAAATTTGATTATGTATTATCTGATATTACCTGTAACCGAATGAATCGTTTGACAAAATTCTAGATTCTAATCATACAGAGCGTTTTTTAGTAGAGCTATCTCGCACTCTAAGAGTTTATTTGGTTTTCAAAGCCAGATATCATTTCTTTATATGTATAACATTCGATGGTATGTAACACAGCTACATATACAAAAATTAATAATACTGCTACTGCAAAGAGGTAAAGAAACTTTTATTTTGAATACCGATGGATTGTTTTCAACATCCTTAGAATGTTTTACTATGGAAAAAAAGTTTAATTAAATATTCAAAATAATATAATTTAAATAAAAATATATAAACAAAGATGTTTCTTATTGTAGTTAATAAGTACGTCGATGTCTTACTCTAGTATTGTGTATTCAAAATACTCAGGAAGTTCAGATTTATTGTCGAATGGTATAAAAATAAAAAAAGAAAGTAAAACATTCTTGCTTATCAGTAATTAAATATTGTAATAAATCGAACACATACCAACAACTGCCGTTTGATAATGTCAACAGCAATAGACGGTTTACCGTAGCTGTAAGCATTAATCCGTAGAATAAATCTGATCAAGATTTGTAGAATATTTTCATCTGTAGCAAATTGGCATATCACAGCACATACGATAGACGAATACTATGTAATATGTTTGCAAATACTTACTTTGCACGAACGCAAAGTCTACAAGCACACTTTGATACTCTACCGGAAGCTCAATATCACAAGAGAGTTACAGTACTTTATACTTCACAGATACTAATGTTATAACTAACACTTCGACTCACATGTAACGGGACAACTTATATAGTTTTCAAAGTTCAAAGTCATCATACGGTTGCATAAGCTCGAATGAAGAATGGGAAACTGCGGTGTCAAGAAAGAACGACTACGCTTGCGCGTACTTCGATCGACATGTTATTACACATGTGTTAGTCTGTGGGAAATAAACATCCGTTGAATTTCGTACGGTCTCAAATCGATCGTCCGTTTACCTACCCATTTCCGTACGAGGTAGTAAGAATCGCGAGTGTTCCGAACTCACAACAATTTCGCACCACCTTACTTTACATTTAAGTAAAATTAGGCAATTTGTAGTAGAGTTTAGGATAGAATAGAAACAAATTAAGGTAAAGAAAAGCAAATTACTGAAATGACTGGTTGCAAGGAGGGAATGTGTTCCGATGGCGTTTTTGCAATCAGATGCATTTCGTTCTCCGCGGAAACATGATCTCCTATGAGGCGCGATATTTCAAACTGAATCGAATCTTACTGCTCTTAGTTGGCTTGTGGCCGTACCAGCAACCGAAATATGCTCGACTTCAAGTATTTATACTGTTTGGTATCTTTACGTACGGCATTCTATATCAAGTGGGTCCATCTTTTTATTTGTATTAATATATTGATTGATGTTTTATATGTTGACGCACAATTAATTTACTACAGCAAAAAAAAACAAAAGAATGCAAGTATGTT